CAAGTCCTAACATTTTTGTCACAGCTGCCTAGACTTTCTGCTTCACTACCACAAAAGGCAGAAGTAGGAAACGTGCAAGCTATGCTTTCATGCACGAATAAAGCCACCACCAGCTGTAGATTACTTGAAGTGCCAAGGATTCACGGGCAGCCTCCACTTGAGAGCAGCCACATGTCTTCAGGAAGTACTTTCAAATCAATTCTCTGGAAGGCATCCATTATATCATTGCACTAGGGCAAGATCCCGGACTCTGGACTGACACTGACCTGGGTTTGAATCCCAGTTCTGCTGCCTGCTGAATGACCTGGAAACATTATCTAACATCACTGATACTCAGTTTCTTCACCCATGGAGATTATTATAACACTGTGACGCAGAACTGCTGTGAGAATTAACCGAGATAGCAGGAGAAAGTTCACAATTATAGTCAGTACCAATAAATGTTAGCTTCCATTCTTTTATCAATAAAGAATTAGGTTTGACTGCATACAGCAGAACACTCAAATCATCATGGCTCAAACAAGACAGAGATGTATTTATTTCTCTCTCATGTAAAAGAAGTCAGAGGTGAAAAACCTGGAGCTTGACTGGGATCCTTGGTCAGCAGGGAGTTGAGCTCTGCCGAGATTTCTGCACTGCCATTCTCAGTGTATGGCTTCTACCCACATGGCCACCTCATGATCTAAGAGTGCTGTTGGATGTCCAGCCATTCCATTCACATTCCAGGCAGGAACTCAGAGAAAGAAAGGCAAAAAGGGATCTGTCAATAGAGTTAAGCCTCTTTATAAAGAACTTTCCTAGAATCCCCAGCCAATGACTTCCATTTACATTTTATCAGTCTCCTCTCAGTTACAAAAGAGCCTGGGGAATGGACTCTGTTAGTGGGGCACATTGCTGTCCCATAATAAAAATTGAAAGTCTGCTATTAAGAAACAAGGGAGTGAAAATCAAATGGTAGATTAAAATGAAAAAAAAAAAAAAGAAACAGAGAAGAATGAATATTGGGTGCGCAACCAGTAATCTCCGTGACACTTCTTTTTCTTGTTACTAAGGTAACTTTGGCAGTTGAGGATCATGGCATTATAGCTAGCATGGCTTCTAAATCACAGTGCCTGCAAAGGAGGCCCCTCTTGGGTAATGAATGGATTTGAATTAAAAATCTAGCTTTGACATTTACTAACCAAGTGACAATGAGTCAGACAGATTATCTTATTGGAGTCATAAAGCAGGTGTCCAATATTCTGTTTCTCCAGACCCAGGGTCTGGAAACAGGCACTGCCATTGTCCAAAGTGTCCCAATGAAGGGCCCTTGGGCTATGGCAGAGCCTTCATGGGGAGTGGCTGTTTTGGTAAGCAGGGAAGGAGTTTGCACCCTTTCAAGAGGGTTAGGCTTCTAGGTTTTTATTTGCAAAACTACTTGCTCTTGAAAAGCTACAAATGTCCCCAAATTAACTGCATTGGGTTTAGATGAGCTGCCTTACTGGGTTGGGCCAAAATTATCTCATACAGATAAGAAGGGCAGCAATTTTTATAAAGCCAGGTATCTATAAACAAGATTTATAATGAGTGCCTGGTTTTGCCTTGGTTTATTAAAGTTCCTATACTGTGGAACTCCTTTCCCCTGCCCCCACATATGATGTCTAACCTGCCTGTCCCACAGAGTCCAGTCTTTATATATTTCACCCTGTTCATACAAACATGCCTGAGTCTCCCTGGTCTCCTGAACAAAGCAAAGAACAAGCTCTTCAAATGAAAGTTGTGGAACTGTAGGCAGGTCCCTTAACCTGCATGTCAGTATTTCATCTGTAAAATAAGCAGGTTAAACGTGATGATTTAAAAACAATTAATGCTGCTCAACACTTTTTGCTGGACTTAGTTGTGGGCGGTGATGAAAGAGACCATCAAGGAGCTGATGGTCTTATGGGATCCTGGCAGTAAGGAGGGCAAGGAGTATAGGATACTAAGGGATGTCAAAGGGAGGGCTCTTTCCAGATGTTCATGGCTCATGAGGATAAGGTAACCTTGGCAATGCTAGGGGAACTCACAGGTGACAGAGAACTATTCCTGTGCCACCTGCAATGGGAGGTGATGCCAACACAGGGTGAGTTGTGGGGCCCTATGGGTCACAGAAGGGCCTGCTTTAAGCATTTACCACCTAATCTAGTTGGGCAGAAGCATGGACTCTGGAGACAGACTATCTGGGTTCAGAACTCAGTGCTGCAATTACTAGCTATGTGCCCTTGGGCAAAAGTTATTGAACTTCTTTATCTGTAAAGCAGCTATGCTATTAGAACCATCTTCAAAAGCTAGCTAAGAGAATTAAGATGAGTTAAAAGCATCCAGTAGGTATGGCACGCTCCTCTAACTCTACCTTTGTGCTAGCAAGTGAGGCTTTGATAATCAGGAAAAAGATCTTGTCTTGTTGTGAAATAACATCTTTACAATGTGAGAAACAAGGTTTTCTTCCCCTCTGCCTGTCCTTGTGTGCCTTAGATGACACATGCTCACCTCTCTGTCCACTCCTATTTGCCATGCAAAACAGGACTCTGGGGCAGCTGCCAAATCTGGTTTTCCATTCTTCCTTAATGCCATTTGCCTGGCATCCAGTGCTGCAGGGACTAATCACAGAGCCTGCTCAGTGCACTGGGGCCAAGCAGGGCTCTGCAAAGGTGCAGCTGCTTCTATCCCCCCATTCTGCAAAACCCATCACATGGAGGTATAAAACCAAACAGTCACTATGCCCCCCACCCCTTCCCCACTTGCTATACAAAGAAACCAGTTGGAATCACCAGTGTCAGACATTAGTGATGTCCTATTAGCACAGGAGTTTTGGCCCCTGAGTCCTCTCCTTGGCCACATTCCAGAGGTCAGTGCTGTGCAGCAGTGGGAGCAGAGTTTGGACAGCTGACTCAGCACCATGACCCTGTCTGAAACTGGCAGAAGCCCTCTAGCGATTTCACAAGTGTAGAAGAATCTTTAAGGTGACAGTTGTCCAAATCCTCTCTGTTAAGAGGCAGGAAAGGGCTTTCCCTCCCTAACATCTGGAGCTGGAAAGGAAGACTGTGGATTTGAACAGTGGGGGCATCTGGGAAGTTGGCCTCAAATGAATGGATGCACACTCAGGAGAAATGACTGAGGAATACAGACAGCAGGGAGAAGATAGCGCCTAGAAGACCAGAGTTTAAGAATGGTTCTCCAAATAGGGCATTACACAGAGCCCTAGCACTGTCTGAGTTGGAACGCCCTCACTATACACAGCAGGAAACAGAAGGCTTTTAGAGTTCTGGCTTGCCCAAGGCAAGAGAGGAATTTGAGTGTAGGGCTGAGATAAGAATTTGGGCCCCAGTCTTTTAGTCCAGATCTCTGTCCCCTGCTTCCAGCTGCATTCCTCACTACATTCTCCCCATCTTCTAGCAGTGTATGTTGCAGGCTGATTTCCTGGATGTTACTGGTGACCCCAGTGTCCTGTTGTTTTTATGTAAGATTTCATTATTCCAGACCCTCATGGTGGTGCACTAACAAACTTCTCTTCAAAACTGTCCTTTCGAGTCCTCTGTTACTTGGTCCTGCTTCGCTGGTAACTTGTCTCCTTTGCAGACCCTTTTGCTTGTGGTCCAGAAGCACAGCACTTCCCCAGGGTTCTGTCTTTGAGGCCAGGCTCTTGCTCTTTATCCCTTCACTGCCTCTGTGAAGCTTCAGCAGAAGAGAGTCAGAGAAAGAGAAGTTATGTTGCTGGCTTTGAAGATGGTGGAAGATGAGCCAAGGAATGTGGGTGACTTACAGAGCCTCAAAAAGCAAAGGAAACAGATTCTCTATTTGTAGAAAGGAACCCAGCCCTGCTGACACCTTGACTTGAGCCTAGTGAGATTCATGCCCCACTCTGAGCTACAGAAATGTAAAATAATAAGTTGTTATTGTTTTAAGATACTAAATTTGTACTAATTTATTATGGTAACAGTAGAAGCTATCTTGGTATCTCAGTCTTAAGTCCATTCCGTTTATTTCTGCATAGACTGGAGCCCCAACTTTCCCTCATCTCTTGCTCTCTGGATCCCTTCCCTGGGGTGTGGGTTGTTGACTGTAAGGGCATGTGCTGTGCAGATTCACACAGCAGCAGCAAAGGGAGAAGGACAGAAGGGGGCGGGTGAGTGTGAGGGGTAAGTAAGGAGGAGCTCAGTCTCTGGTGCCACGCAGGCCTGGTATGGAACCTCCAGGAGCATTTTCTCTCAGTGGAAGTTTGAGCGAGGTATTTGGTTTGTTTCTTCAGCTCTAACATAAAGAAAATGCTAGGCGCTACCTTATAGGGTGGTTGTGAGGATGCAGTTCAGTGCTGGGTGTAAGGTGGTAATAAACACCCGGCCCAGCAAAGAGCAACATAATAGCTGGCAGTGATAACTATCATATCATACATCCAATATATGAAATGATAACTGATGTTCATGTGCCAGCAGGAGACCAGGTCCACGGAATCTCCGGAAGATCCCAGGAGGGTACTCAAGGGCAACATGCCCAGCACTGAAGGCTGCGTGCCCAGCCTTCCTCCTCTTCCCCTTCCTGCCCCCACCCGCTTCCTGCTGGGGCAGCATGGCTTAGGGACGAAACCCCAGGGGATGAGGAGGTGGTTTAAACAGCTGGTGCTCATGTACACTCTGAACCCCATGTCCCAGAGGCCTGGCAGCCCAACGCTCTCCCTATCTCCCATCCCAACATCACCTCGCAGTGCCCTTGGTGGCAGATCAGGGCTAATGTCACATAGAGTGAGGCGCACGCGGTGCGAAGCCCCCTACCCCCCTCTCTGCCCCCTCGAGGAGGGCGCCGTGCCCGGGGGTGGGGTAGGGTGGAAGAGCTGGCCAGGGTCCCGGCCCGCGGGGGTTTCTCACTTCCCCTCCCCAACGGCCGGGTGCAGGTGCCCCGGGCCGAGCCTCGCAGGCGGGGCGGTCCCTGTGGACACGCCCTCGCCGCAAGTCTTCCCTGCCCGGCCGGAGGAAGCCCCACAGCGCCGCTGGCCCCGGGTGGAGGCCGGCGCCCCTCAGCCCTGCGCCCAGAGTCGCCGCTGGCTCCGGCTCCGGGCACGGGCACGGGCACGGGCACGGGCAGGCAGCGAGCCGGGGATGTGAGCTGCGCCCCGCGGGATGGCAGCCTCAGGTGGGTCGGCGGGCGCCGGGCCCTCCGCGCAGCCCGCGCGCTGGCGCCGCTTGTCCCCGGGCCACTCTCTCACGCACCCCGCACCCCGCGTGGAGGGCTCCCGCGCGCTTCTATTTGCGGCTTCATGAGGAGATCTGGTGTTCTTTCTGTTCTTTACTCTGTTCCCTGCTGCGAACTTCCTACGAAACTTTCGCGCGTTCCTCTTCCCAGCCTGTTGCGCGGCTCTCTTCAGCCCCGGCCTGACTCTCTCGCGTCCGCGTCTTTTAGGTCTCCTTTTCTCCGCCTCGCGGTCGGAGCGTCTGGGGGTCGCTTCCCCGGCTCCTCAGACTCTGGGAAGCCGCTAGCCGACTTATCTACGCGGGACAAACGCTTCTCCGACGTCGGGCCTCGATACACCCATAGGGGGCGCTCAGGCAGCCCCGGGTGGTGTGGGGAGCTCCGAGATGGCCGTCGGTCCAGCCTCCCAAACCCCCTTCCTGCGCTCACCCTGAGCCGTGTTTTGCATCTGGAATTTTGCTAGGAATCCACTAGCACTCTTCCTTAGGTTTTACTTTTCCTATGTCATTTGCAGAACTTTAGGGGATGAGGAGAGTCTGTGGTCACTGGATAAATCTACCCATCAAAGGGTGCCAGGAATCTTTGCTGGCTGGTCTTGGGTTTCCTTCTGGTCCATGGGTGTATACACTTGGCAAGTCACTCACCCACCGAGATCCAGACAAACGGCATACTAATGCTAATATTTAGGGACAACAAACGAGCCCTTATTGTGCTCTCCAGTGGACACTGTGCACCTAGTATGTTGTCAGTGGTGATCAGAACATAATACCTAGTCTCTACTCTGGAGGAGTTTATAGTTCTGGAAAGGAAAGCAATAAGTAAACATGGAATTACTAGATGAGAAGAGAGAGTTACCATGTTTGCAAAAGGGTTTGCTTGTATTTTCCAGCCTACTTTATGATGTTTTAGTAGAGATAGCATGTGTAAACAGATTGCAAATGCCTTCTGAAAATGAAAACCTAGTTGGCCAGGAGAAAGTGATACTTTTGGAGGAGGTGACCAAATTCTAGAATGAAGAACCAGCTCTCCCTAGATCCTTTGAGGTCTAGCCTTATAATGGTGCTTTGGAGGAAAAAGCAGAAAAGGCCAGTGGTGATGTTTCTATTAGATTTGCTGATACAGGCTCATTATTTCAGGGGGCTGAGAAGGTAGTTAACCTCAGCTGGTGGCTCTCTACCTGGGTTCTGGAGGCTAGAAGTTGTATTGTGAATAAGGAGTCCCTGATAATAGAAGGTTTATGGTTCACATATTGCATCTGAAAGTCAAAGTTATTTAGGGCGAATTCAGGCATTTGGCAAATATTGATTGCTATGCTTACTGTTTCTAGGTCTCTGTTCTAGGTGTTGGGTGTACCTTCAGTAAACAAAACAGACAAAACCCCGCACCCATGTCACTTACCACAGAGTGAAGACAAACAACACATTTGTTTGTCTGAGGAGAGTCAGTGGTCTGATGCGCACTACAGACAAATTATAAAGAGGGGTAAGGGAGGTTGGAGTTAGAATTTTAAATGAGGTGTTCAGGTTAGGCCTCATGGAGAAAGGGACATTTGAGCCAAGACCTTTAGGAGTGTGAGGAGTCTTGTGAAGAAGGGTGCTGTGCCAATAGGTGGTGAGGGGAGGTGGGTGACAGGGGAGAGGGAGAGGAGATCAGAGAATGAAGCAGTGAAGCTCCCACCTCCTTCCATGGTTGGGAACAGGCTTTGGGCTGCTAAGGCCAAGATGTAGCAAACAGGGAGAGCCTTGGGGCAGAGGAGGCTGAGAAAATGGTTGCTCTCTTCCTCTCAATCCAGTGTCCTGTGTGCATCTCCCCAGGGGGCAGGGCCGAAGGGGGTAAGAGGGCAAGCCCCAGCTCAGATGGGGACCCTTGCCCATGCTGTACCTGGGGCTAGTTATGGGCTCTGCAGTGGTTTCTGCGGATGTCTGCAGTGGTTAGAACTGCTAAATATCTTTCTGGCAGCATTCTCTGTGGTGGGACACCTCTCCAGGTGCTGCAAATGGGAGTTGGGCCTCTACAGTCCTCTCAGGGAGTAGGGCTCCCTAAGGTCTGAAGGTACCAGGACCCTTGAGAGCAGGTCACAATGGTGAGAGCAATGCCTCTTGGCAAGATGCTGTGGGCTCTGGAGTCATCTAGGCTACCCCTCTGTGTGGTCTTCTTCTTACCTTCAAAAGAGCTTTATTGTGATATAATTCACATGCCATACAGGTCATCCATTTAAAGCACACTATCAGTTGTTTTTAGTATCTTCACAGAAATGTGCAACCATCACCACAGTCAATTTTAGAACATTTTCATCCCTCTGAAAGGCACTCCATAAATTTTAGTTATTACCCTTTTAACTCTCCTCTCCTCCCCAGTCCTAAGATCTACTTTGTCCCTGTAGATTTCCCTACTCTGGACTTTCCATGTGAATGGGATCACATAGTGTATGGTCTTTGGTGACAGGCTTCTTTCATGCCATTTAATATTTTCTTTTTTTAATTTTTAATTTTTTTTATTAAATCATAGTTGTGTACATTAACACCATCATGGGGTACAGTGTGTTGTTTCCATATACAATTTGAAATACTTTCATCCAATTAGCCAACATAGCCTTCATGTCATTCTCATAGTTGTTGTGTTAAGACATTCATATTCCACATTTAGAAAGATTCACATGTACGCTTATAGGAAATGCAAATCAAAACTACTTTGAGATATCATCTAACACCAGTAAGATTAGCCTATATCACAAAATCCCAAGATCACAGATGCTGGTGTGGTTGTGGAGAAAAGGAAATACTTCTGTACTGCTGGTGAGATTGCAAACTAATACGTCCCTTTTGGAAAGTCATCTGGAGAACACTTAGAGAACTAAAAATAGATCTGCCATTTGATCCTATAATTCCTCTGCTAGGTATATGTTGAGTAGACCAAAAATAACACTACAATACAGATATTTGTACCAGAATGTTCATTGCAGCCCAATTCATAATTGCTAGGTCATGGAAGAAGCCCAAGTGCCCAATGACCCATGAATGGATCAATAAATTGTGGTATATGTACACCATGTAATTTTATGCAGCCATAAAGATAGATGGAGACTTTACCCCCTTCATGTTTACATGGATGGAGCTGGAATGGAAGAAAAAGTATCCAATGTACTCAACCCTATTATGAACTAATTTTTAGCTATCATAGGAAAGCTATAACCCAATTTTAGCTCAAGAATACCAGGAAAGGGGAGAGGGAGGGGAAGGGAGGGGGGAGGATGGGTGGAGGGAGGCTGGGATCATGCCATTTAATATTTTCAAAATTCATCCAATTAATGTGGGTACTTAATTCCTTATTATGGCCTATGCCTCAGGTCTTCTTAAATTCCCTTCCACTTAAGGGTAATTGTTAGTCTTTTATTTTCTGAAACATGTTTGCTTGTTGAAATCTAGGAGGCTCTCTACTCATAAAAGAACCTTGGATTAAGTAAAATGAAATGAACTCAGCCTATCCATAATATTCTCTAGGCCCCAATGGTATCTTGTGTATTTACATGTGAGGGGGAGAGAGAGAGGCCAGAAATGACTTTCCCAAGTGGCCAAGTATGTGGCTGTGCAAAGACTAGAACTCTGTCCTCCATGTGTTAGCCTCCAAGTCTTTGAAGAAAGCGCTCATACCTTTTCCTGCCACCTCTCCCCAAGGGTTCTCTTATCTTCAGATCCTTCTGCTATTCCTGGACTCAGGACCACAAGGCTTGCAGAGATGTTTTACTTTTTTGATATCTTAACTTCCATCCAGTTCTTGAGGTCTTTCAATATTCTTGGCAATCCCTGAATTTGAACACATTTGAGAAGAGGAAACTCCTCATGTGATTCCTCACTAGATCTTCCCCTGTGTTGATCACTTTCCCTAGCTCACATCCCTTTTCAGATATGGCGTTCAGCTTCAAACGTGGGGCTCCAGGACAGATGAGTGGGGTGCCAGAGTCCCCTACAGACTGAAAATCTGGGTAGTTTGAGTAGCTCCTGGCACTTCCCCTCTGCACTTTTCTCCAGTGGGTTCTGAATTGTCCAGAGGTGTCTCTCCATCAGCCACTGCCCTGCTTACTCCTGCTGTGACGCCCTGCTGCCACCAGCCAGCCCCTTCCTTAGCACATACCCTTCTTTTTTCCTGCTATAGCTAAACTCTTTCTTTTAAGTTTTACAAGGACAAAGACCTTTCCTCATTTTTGTCTAGGGTTTATGGACTCCTTGTTGGTTCGTATATTTACTTCCTCTTAACAAATAAACAAAACGAGAAAGAGAGAAGTAATTCAGGACAGGGGGAAAATGACTTACAGTTAAAGGAATTATTACAGAAGAAAGGGGTTTCCCCCGGATGAGGGAGCATTGCTGACAAAGCACTTAGTCCTACCTTGCTGCCCAGCACATCACAGGATTTTAACTTCCACTTTGGACTTTTTTACAACTTCCCCGTCTTTCAGTTTCAGCAGCACAGCAATCTTCAGGAAGGTAATAGATTTCGCTGTCCTCATTGACTTCCAGGCAAAGTTGCGTAGGTTTAGTATTTTAGTCTAAGTCACATCAGAAGTTAGTGATCAAACAGGTGGCAAGGTTAACTAGTCTGAGGCACCACCTACTTCTTTCTCAAATACTTTTGCTCAAAGAGGATTGAATTTAACACTAGAACCCCAGGAAGGAGATGATTTAAATAGCTGTTTTTTAAAGAGAAGAGGTTAACCTCTTAAATACTTTTTATTTCAGTTGTGTTTTTCATAAAGTTTTATTTGAGAACAGTTTTAGATTTTCAGAAAAACTGAAAAGACAGTACAGAGAGTTCCCGCATATTCCATCCCTAGTTTTCCCTGTTATTATTTTATATTAGTGTAGTATTTGCTATGATTAATGAACCAATATTGATAAATTATCATTGACTAAAGTCCATACTTTGTTCAGATTTCCTTCGTTTTTAAACAATGCTCTTTTTCTGTTCCAGGATCTCATCCCAGATACCATGCTACATTTAGTGATCATGATTCTTTAGGCATCTCAAGGCTGTAATTTTCTTTGATTTTCCTTGTTTTTGGTGACTTTGACAGTTTCGAGGAGTGCTGGTTGGTTATTCTTTAGACTATCTATCTCTCAAATTAAATTTGTCTTATATTTTTCTAAGAGTTAGACCAGCTTGGTGGGTTTTGGGGCAGAAGATCATAGCAGTAAAGTGCCATTTTTGGCTGTACTCAATAAGTTGAAGATAAGTGGCTCATGCCTATAATCCTGGGACTCTGGGAGGCTGAGGCAGGAGGCTCCCTTGAGCTTAGGAGTTGAAGATCAGCCTAAGCAAGAGTGAGACCCCATCTCTACTAAAAATAGAAAAATTAGCTGGTGTTGTGGCGCGTACCTATAGTCCCAGCTACTTGAGAGGCCTTGGCATGAGAATTGTTTGATCCCAGCAGTTGAGGTTACTGTGAGCTAAGTAACTAGATTCCTTGCTCATGACACTATGGTCACTATGGTACCAACCCCGGGGGCAACAGAGTGAGACCCTGTCTAAAAAAAAACAAACATAAAATGCCAATCTTATCACATTGTACCAGGGATACTATTTAAATGATTTATGACTATTGATGTTGATGACTGGGCAGAGGCAGTATTTGCTAGTTTTCTCCACCACACAGTTACTCTTTTTTTCTCCTTGTCTTTGGAAAGAACTCACAAGGCACAGCCACACTTAGTCGGAGTTCTACTTACCTCCTTGAGGGTAGAGATATCTACGCGTATTATTTGGAATTGTTATGCATGGGAGATTTGTCTCTCTTCCCCGATTTATTTATTCAGTTATTTACTTATATCAGTGTGGACTCATGAATATTTATTTTATGCCTTGAAGTATAATCCAATATTGTTTTATTTATTTTGTTGCTAATATTATTCCAAATTTGCCCATTGGGAACTCTTTCGGCTGACTCCTCCTATGTCCCTCTGACAGATGCCTATCATTTTTTGCTCAAGCAGTTCCTTACTTTCTGGCACTACAAAGCACTCTGGGCTCATCTTGTTTATTTTCTACCTCAGAAAATATATATCCTAGAATTGGTCATCTCTTCAGAGCAGCCCTGGTTCATTTTATTGGTGAACATTTACTATAATGTTAAGTTATAGAACATTATATGTTCTGCATTTTTCTGACTTTTTAAATAAGGTGCATCCTAGAGATTAACAGCACAGCCTTCGGAGTTAGATGCCTGCTCTGACACTAACAGTGTGGTCTTGGGAAGCAGCAACTTATCTTTAAAGAGTTTTAATGTCTGTGTCTATAAAATGAGGCTACTGATAGCATATACTTTGTAGGACTGTTCTGAGGATTAAAGAGAGAATGCTCATGAGATGCTTAGCAGAGTGACTAGCACATGGCCCAGAAAACAGAGATGAATTACTATTTAAACTTCCTTGGTAATGACCTGGAGTCTACTGAACAGGCAGTGCTATTCCTACGTGCAGTTAAAAGAGGAGCAGGCTCAGTGGGGCAGTATTCGGGGTAAAACGAGTATTCAATCTCTTACTGACCCAGTACTTGTCCTCTTAAAATATTGGCTTTCTTTTGGGTCACTAAGTCCTTTGCATAAGACTAGATTCATTGCTCATGACTACGTGATCTTCAGGGCAGTGCAAAAGTTGTTGCTTTTCTACTAAGTCAGCCAGTGGTCAAGACCCAAGTGATCTTCATTTTTTCATTTTTTTATCTTTATTTTTACTTATTTATTTATTTTTGAGACAGAGTCCTACCCTGTCACCCTGGGTAGAGGGCTATGGCATCATAGCTCACAGCAACCTCAAACTCCTGGGCTTCAGCGATCCTCTTGCCTCAGTCTCCTGGGTAGTTGGGACTATAGGTGCCCACCATGATGCCTGACTAGTTTTTCTGTTTTTAGTAGAGACAGGGTCTCAGTGTTGTTCAGGCTGGTCTCAATCTCCTGAGCTCAGTCAATCTACCCGCCTCAGCCTCCCAGAGCTCTAGGATTACAGACATAAGCCACATCTGGCCCCAAGTAGACTTCTTAAGGGTACTTTGTATGCTCCCGGAAATCCTCTTCTTTCCTTTTTTGCCATCACTTGTTAACCCTCTTAAAAACATTTCTGATGGTTTCTTCATCCCTGGTGTATGGGACACAGCCAACCTTTTCTGAGACTAGTCTCTTCCCACTTATTTGCATAATTTGTTAAGACGGTACTTGCTAGTATGTTTGTGTGAATGGGGAAGGAGGTGGTGGCTACTGTTTCTCATTTTTGCATGTTTAAGTGAATTCCAAGCACAGCATCACTCATTGCATCCTTAACATTATAGTAAATGTAAAGTCTTGTTCCTTTCCTGCTTGATAGTTCATGCTCATGCACACTCATTTGCAATAACACTTCACATTTTTGTTTCTTAAGAGAAACCAGCCATGTAGGAAGGAGCAGTTTATTGGATTAATGGAGAGGTGATGACCCAAAACTGTTGTAACAGTTATGGTAAAAGCTAAGCTTCTTTGGACTTGGATTATTCGATTATGACTTATTCCTCGTAAGATTCTTGACAGAATTCCTGATGGGAGATAGCAGGTGAATTGGGAAGAGAACTGGACCCAGAACCAGGAAATAATCTGAGTGTTAGCCCTGGCTCTGTTGCTGTCTGCTGAGTGTGAAGTTGAGCAAGGCCCTTGACTTTCCTAAATGAAGTGCTTCTTTTATCTATAAATGAGGAGCTTGGGCCTATGATTCCTGAAAGCCCCCTTTCACTCTCTTCCTGGCATTTCCATTGTATTAGAGGAGGAACAAAGCCTATGTTAGAGGCCTCCTGTGGTGAGGGACACCTTATAAATAGTATTATGGAGGTCAAAGCATTAATTCAACCACAAATATCATGTGTGTTAATGCACTATTTATGTTGACCAACAGATGATAAGACCATCTATCAATTATTGAAGGTTTTCTACATGCAAGTGCTATGCTTAGCACTTTAGATATTATGAAATATCTAATTTAATTCTTTTAAACACTGATAGGTATAGACATCATGTCTAAGCTGATGTTCAGGGAGTTTGAGTAACTTGCCCAAGGTTACAGAGCTAATCAATTGCAGAGCCAAGGCTCTAGCTCTGACCCTCTGATCCCACACCTGTGCATGTCACCATTATACTTGGGAAAGAGCCAGGTTCTGAGGTCCACACTGAGTTCAAATTCTGACTCTGCCACTGTGAACATTGGGTAAGTTACTTGCTTTGCCATACCTCAGTTTTCTTTAAAATAAACTAATTTCTTTTTTGAGACAAAGTCTTACTGTGTTGCCCCAGCCTAGGGTGCCGTATTGGATAGCTCCCAGCAACCTCAAACTCTTGGGTTCAAGCCATCCTCCAGCCTCAGTCTTCCAAGTAGCTGGGACTACAGGTGCCTACCACTGTGTCCAACTAGTTTTTCTATTTTTTACTACAGGTGAGGTCTTGCTCTTGCTCAGGTTGGCGTGGAACTCTTGAGCTCAAGCAATCCACCAGACTTAGCCTCCCAGAGTGCTAGGATTACAGGTGTGAGTCATCATACCCAGCCTAAAATGGGCTAATATTAATAGTAGCACCTGCCTTTTAAAGTTGCTGTGAAGATTACATGAAATTATTATACAATGTGTTAAGAAGAGTGCATGGAACATAGTAAGCTCTAGATAAGTGCTTGGAGTACTACTGTTATTAATATTGTTATTATCCTATACTCTGTCAGCTCTGGAGGGATGTGCATGCCATACAGAAACAATAGCTTGTGCAGGAATCTAAACCAGAATGGAATGTTTGGGCAAAAACAGGGAAACTGGTATGGCTGGAACACAGATTGTGAGGAAAGAGGTTAGATAGGTATGCTGGAAGAAGACTGTGGGTCACAGGTCCCTGATCTGGATGGTCTATTTTGCTGGTTGTAGGGAGCTCCCTGGAAGGAACAGGCATGCTGACATACTTCTGTGCTTCATTCTTGCCCAGGGATGCTGGGAGGATGTGACATCCTCATCGTCTACAGCCCAGATGCCCAGGAATGGTGCCAGTACCTCCAGGACCTTTTCCGGTCTAGTCGGCAGGTCCGCAGCCAGAAGATGTTGACTCACAGGCTGGGCCCTGATGCCTGCTTTTCAGCCCAGGACCTGAACCTATTCCTCAGTGCCCGCTGCGTCATGGTGCTACTGTCTGCAGAGCTGGTGCAGCACTTCTACCAGCCAGCCTTGCTACCCCTGCTGCAGAGAGCCTTCCACCCTCCGTACCGCATGGTGAGGCTGCTCTGCGGGGTACAGGACAGCGAGGTGTTTCTGAAATTCTTTCCAGACTGGGCCCACTGGCAGGAGCTTACCTGTGATGATGAGCCTGAGACTTACGTGGCAGCTGTGAAGAAGGCCATTTCTGAAGGTAAAGATTTCTTCTAGAGTAAAGATAAGTAAGCCCGAGAAAAATTACTAATCCAGGTTCCAGTCCTTCTAGTGAGACGTTTATGTTAATACTATAAATTTATATTACAAAGTGAGCAGGGATATCTGTGTTAAGAGATATGATCATTTATTGGTTTAGAGCAACATATTCTAGGAGTGGGATAGGTGCAGGATAGGTTTCCTGACCTGCAGGAAAGGAAGATGACATTTTCCCTTGTGTTCTTTGTTTGCTAGAATTTTCTTATTTTTTTATTTGTACGAATTTAAGGAATACAAGTGCAACTTTTTTTTTTTAGTTTTTGAGACAAAGTCTCACTTTTGCCCTGGGTAGAGTATGTGGCGTTACAGCTCACAGAAACCTCAAACTCTTGGGCTCAAGCAATTCTCTTGCCACGGCCTCCCAAGTAGCTGGGACTACAGGTACCCGCCACAATGCCTGGCTATTTTAGAGATGGGGTCTCATCTTGCTCAGGCTGGTCTTGAACCTGTGAGCTCAGGCAGTCTACTCACCTTGGCCTCCCAAAGTGCTAGCATTATAGGTGTGAGCCACCACATCTGGCCCATACTAGTGCAAATTTAATACGTGGATATATTGCATAGCGGTGAAGTCAGGGCTTTTAGTATACCCACAACCCAAATAATGTGCATTGTACCCGTCAAGTAATTTCTGATCATCCATTCCCTTCCCACCTCCCAACCCTTCAAGTCTCCGTTATCTGTCATTCCATACTCTGTGTCCCTGTGTACACACCATTTGGCTCCCACTTATAAGAGACAACATGTGTTATTTGTCTTTCTGTATCTGAGTTGTTTCACTTAAAAAGTAATAGCCTCCTATTCCATTTATGTTTCTGCAAAAGACATGATCTGATTCTTTTTTGTGGCTGAGTAGTATTCCATTGTGTATATATACATACATCACATTTTCTTTATCCAGTCGTGCCGATGGACACTTAGGCTGATTCCGTATCTTTCCTATTGTGAATTGTGCTGTGATAAACGTACAAGTGCAGGTATCTTTTTGATATAAGGATTTCTTTGGATAGATACCCAAAGGAAAATTAGTGGGATTGCTTCGTCCAATGGTAATTCTATTTTTAGTTCTTTGTGAAATCTTCATACTGATTTTCATAGCGCTTGTAATAATTTACATTCCCATCAACAATGTATAAAAGTTCCCTTTTCTCCATATTCCCTCAGAAGACACAGAGCAGTTCCAGTCAAGAGAGCAGTGGGCATGGGAGGTGGTGACTTAGTTTCCTGGGGGGTGAGAAACATGACCGCCCACCTTTCTGCTTTCATGTGGCTTCTGTTTGATTGTCACATGACCTGAAATTTTTGTTGAAAATTAATCATTTTTGAAAAATGTGTTTGTAGAGAAATAGCCCTCTTCTCTATTTCTCACCAGCCTAGCTTCTGTCCTTTGCCCTATTTCTCCTTTTAGAGTGGGAAAGTTCTGATCTTCTCTGCCAGGGCTAGTGACTTCACTGGACCCAGGAAGTGTGACATACACTCTGATTAACAGTAACGGAAGATGCGCTCTGGGATGGATACATGTTATAGCTTTTCTTCCTCTTTCTGTTTTCTATTTTTGCCTCACTGTAGGCTCTGAGTGGGCTATGCCTTTGTCTTCTGTTTGCTTACCACTTGTGGTCTCATGTACTTGAGAGTACATGCCAGCAAAAAAGCCTGGATAATCAGGGGGCTGATTTAACTGTGCCTTTTCCTCCCTGTTGGGACTTGGGTGTTAATTTGGTTCATCCAGCCTGTCCCATCAGATCAACCAAATCATGAATTCATTAATTTTTAGGGACCTTAAAAAGGTAATGTAACTTCCTCAGTATTTTTATCCCAGGAATAGGCTACTCTTAACATAGTGAGATCCCTGTTCATTTTGCAATATGAACAACTGATTTTAACGTAAAAGTTGTCTCATCTAAATGCCCGGGACCTGGATTAGTAATTTTTCTAGGTTTGCTTTTTTTTTTTTTGAGACAGAGCCTCAAGCTGTCCCCATGGACAGAGTACCGTGGCATCACAGCTCACAGCAACCTCCAACTCCTGGGCTCAAGCGAGTCTCCTGCCTCCGCCTCCCAAGTAGCTGGGACCACAGGTGCCCGCCACAGTGCCTGGCTATTTTTTGGTTGCAGCCATCATTGTTGTTTGGCGGGTCCGGGCTGGGGATTCGAACCCGCCACCTTAGGTGTACATGGCTGGCGCCTTAGCCGGTTGAGCTATAGGCGCCGAGCCCTAGGTTTGCTTTAGTAGGACACAATAATAGAGCTAGCACATCATTCGTATTTGCATGATTGTCCTTTATGGCTTTCAGGGAGTTGTGATCTTCCCAAACTCACAAAAAACTGAGACACAAGCGGCTGTTTCTACAATGAATTTGTGTCACTGAAATAATCAGCTATGATCTCATGGGCTGGTCACCGTGAGTGGCCAACCAGTCACCATGGCCAATAACCTTCCACGGAGTTATCACCACTGTTTTGCCACTTCACATGCTGTTGCTCTAACAGATTTCTTTAAAACATTGTAGTGGATTATTTTTTACAAAGGATTCTTTTAATATTGTTTGGATGCATGCAGTGATTAGGTGCCTGGGTAAACGGATCTCTTCTAATGTTTTACTTTCTACTAAAGACGCTGGCTCAGTATGCTGTGAGCCCTTGGCTTCAAGTGTTTCAGAAAGAAGTATCTCCCAGCAGCATTTCTATCCTGAGAGCAAATAACTTCTTATCAGAAAGAGTTTTTTTTTTTTAATGGGACATTAAAATAAGCTGCTTAGTGGGCTATCTTTGTAGTTTAGAATCAATGAATATAGGGACAAATGGAATTAAAGGAAAGAGAGGAGGAGAAGGAAGGCAGGCTTACAGCCCCCAATATAACTTTTTAAATTGGTATTAGGCTTATGAGTTCTGGGGTTTGAGACATCTGTCTGTGCCACGATGGCTTGGGTTTGCTTTCTGAGTGTCCCAAGACCAAAATTTTTTTAAGCTGGTACTTGGAGTTTGGCTGTGGAGCAAAAAGAGCATCGCACAGGGAAGGGACACTGCATTATGTGGCTCTCCTGCTAACGAGGTGCCTAGGACATGTGGGCTCTTTGTGTTCCAGGTTCCTTTTCTGTAAGAGGCAGTCATAGACTTCATCTGAGATACTTCCAAGGGCAAATAATCTATGATTTCTCTGGGCCAGGTGAAAATTTTAAAATCTTCTTGCTCCATTTCGTACATGCTTTTTGACTCCCTGGAAGCTTAAGGCTAGAACAGTGGTTAAGGACAATACTATCCCTAAACTAGGTTTCTGGTATAATTATGTCTTTGGTTGCATTTCCTATAACTTGTGATAGTTTTATTTTAATACTCCTCTTGTACACATGAGGTTTTCCTAAGGTACTTCAAAAGCAATAAATAAAATGTTCATGTGTGCCACTACTACAAGCTGCCCCAGTCTTATGAAAAATAAACATATGAAATTTATTCTGTGTATTAAAAAGATCCCAATAGGAAATATAATGGAAAATTGATAATGGGGCTGAACTAATGGTAGGACAATAATTGTGGAGTTATTGATTGTAGGGTTTTTGCTGTTGTTGTTGTTGCAGTTTGACCGGGGCCAGGTTTGAACCCACCACCCTGGGTATATGGGGCTGGTGCCCTACTCACTGAGCCACAGGCACTGCCCAGTAGGGCTTTTTTCTTTCTTTTTTTTTTTTTTAGAGACAGAGTCTCATTTTGTTGCCTTCCATAGAGTGCTATGGTGTCACAGTTCACAGCAACCTCCGGCTCTTGGGCTTAGGCGACTCTCTTGCCTCAGCCTCCTGAGTAGCTGGGACTACAGGCGCCCACCATAATGCCCAGCTATTTGTTTTTTTTGTTGCAGTTTGGCTGGGGCTGGGTTCAAACCCACCACCCTCGGTATATGGGGCCGGCACTCTACTGACTGAGCCACAGGCGCTGCTGATTGTAGGGCTTTTGAAAGCTACAGGGAGACACATTTCAGGAAAAGCTTAGTAGTATTTAGAGCTGTGTAAAGATGAATTGGATTGCCTTTGGAGGTGGTAACCTCCATATGACCAGGAGTGTAAGAGTGGTTACTGCAGGTGTGTCATAAAGGGATGAGGCTTTGACACTGTGCTTGAACATGTGGCTTTTGCAGCCTTTTGATCATACATTCTCTTGTAAGAGATTCCTATTTTCTGGCCTGGCTAGATGGCTCACGCCTATAATCCTAGCACTTGGGAGGCCGAGGCAGGTGGATTGCCTGAGCTCACAGTTTTGAGACCAACCTATGGCACTTTATTGAGGTCGACAGAATGAGAGTCTGTCTCAAAAAAAAAAAATTCCTGTTTTCAACAGCAACACATTTCTGTTTTGAATTCAGTTTTCCTCCTTCACCGTGTCTTCCTGGGGTTTTTGACTCTCAGCTGAAGAAATATTGGTCAAGTTCCTACTGTCACGACTCCAATAGTAAATAGCAGGAAAAAAGACTTCAGTCTGTAATCTATATAACCCTTTAAAATGATAAAGCTACCAGCATATATATGTATAATACATATATTACATATATATTTCTTCTTAACTTTGAAGTATTCTTTGATAAAAAAGGACTGTTTAATGAGAGTTACAGAGCCCATTTAACATTTTTTGCAGTTTTTTTTTTTTTT